CCTATGCACAGTGCATATTATTTTTAATTAATTAAATAATTAAATTAAGAAATAATTAAACATGCTTGCTCCACTCCCTCAGGCTGCAGCAGAAGCCCAAGATGAGGTGGGGAAGAGCATGTCCATATTCAAGGGACATAGCTATAACACAACCAAGGCACTAAATATAGTATTTTGCATTAATGCACCTGATGACTGCAACTGGCATTTACAAAGAATGAAGCAAAAACACTAAGGATAAATACTATTAATGCCATTCTTAGTATTTGAAGCAAGTCAGCCCAGAACAATTCCCACAATACACAATGGCTGTATTTGGATGCAGAACTAATTACCATATTTTAGTGCAACCTTGCCAAAATTGGTACTGTCCACATGAGTTGGACTACAACTTCCATTGGCCATGCTGGTTGGGCATGATGGAAATTATAGTCCTCACCACCGCTCTGGTTCCGAAGGAGCAGGAGTAGGAGCGGGAGGGGGAGACCAAAGAGGTGAGCGCAGGGCAGCTCCTCCGGCTGGGAGAGGGCCATGAGGAGGGAGGTAAGGGCTTCTTTCCGAGGTGAGGGGAAGTGAAGGACAGGGCCACAGCTGGCTGAGCAGGGTGCCTCCTGCTTCTTCCCGCCGCAGGGGGAAGCATGGCAGCTACTTGATGGCGGCGGCTTGCCCAGTGAAGGCTGCAGTGGAGGCACAGGAGCCGCGGCCCCGCTCTGCCTCAGCCTGTCTGCCCTGGGCTTGGTGAAGTGGCCACAACTTGGCCTGCAGCCTGGGGACATGGCTCACATACTTAAAAATGGATTTGAAAAGTTATATTTTTCTTACCTTCAATCCTTTTTTAGCGTCTTCGTCTCTCTCTCTCTCCCGCCCTCCTCTCTTCAGTTTCCCATTCCATATTCCCGCTCTGTATATGTGTGCAATGGTGGGGGGAAGATCCAGCGCATGCACAGTTGAGCTCTTACAATTTGGCTCGTGAGCCAGCTCTCTGCATAGTTTCAGAGAACGCCTGCGCTGGCTCAGAGCTTTCTCCAAGTAAGTCCAAAAGCTATGAGACAGGCCAGATAAATGAGCATGGGGAGCCATATCCGGCCCGCGGGCCATAGTTTGAGGACCCATGCCTTAAAGCATCATTGCATTCTCATCTGAAATTGGAAATAAGCTTCACCCATTTGAAAAAACAAGCACACCTATGAAACCCCCCAAGTACCTGAAAATGGCCCCTCCACCTCTGCAAAGAACACACAGGCAGGGGGTCAAACAGGCCTTGGGCTAGGATGGGAAGGAAACTTAAAAATCACTGCAAATGAACTGTCTCTTAAAGAAGCCCAAAGGGACCAGAAGAGAGAAAAGTGTCTGGCTGAGGGAGCCTCAATTGCCTGCTAAACCTGTTTTTGGCCTTGCCTTGCGTAAATGTTGTGTATATGTGACTGTGTTGCATGGCAGGGGGGGTGAGGAAGATGGTTTTAAGGCCCCCTCCATCCCCAAGGGTCCCAAAATGATGCATGTTCATTTCCAAACATGAATGCACATGCAGTGCGGGGCATGAAGAAGTGTGGCCATTACCTCCACAAGGGATAAAATGCTGGCAGAGAGTGGAATGGGGCATTAGGAGAGGGAGACATTCACCTTTCAACTGTCTTCTTTATTTAAGCTGCCCCACACTCCCCTCTCCAACCATTTAACATCCCTCCTTGTATCATATTTGTATTTTCTTTCCTGGGGAGAATGGAAAATGGGGACATTGAAATAGAGAACCTGTACTGAAAGAGCTAAACCAGAGCTGTTTGTATATGCAGGGTGTCTCAGGGTGCAACTCTGTCCAAGGCCATCTGGATATTTTTGATGCTTGAGGCTTTCAGTCACAAATAGACCTCTCACCCTTCCTGGCAATTACAATACAGTACAATAAAGAAAACGACTTCTGCTCTTGAATTACGGCAGACTCAGCTGCTTGAGGCAGTTGCCTTGTTTTGCCTAATGTGAAGTCTAGCCCCAAACTTTTGTTTACTACTACATGTTATGTTCCCACAAGAAAAAACAAATTAGTAAGTCATGCAAAACTAACTTCTCTCTTCTTATATTTATATAGAACATTTTGAATACATCACTGTTTCAAGATTAGCTCAATAAACCACTATTAAATTAAATACACTTTTAAAGGCAAAATAACATAAGCTTTGTAACTTAGTTTGTATCTCCATACAACACAGATCAACTATTATTTTTATCATTGTTATTTTTTGTAATGATGACTGGCCTGGAATCATTTTAGCTATATGTTACACTCCTCTCATAGATGCTATGTTTCATATTTTCTCTTTGTGCATGGAATATTTGATATCAGTCAGTCACATGTGTATGTAACTATGTCCTGCACATGTGAACTATATTTGCATATATGATATGGCCCATTACTGAATGTACCTCTGGGAGAAGGTGGGCTCTCTGACAGCATCCCCTGGAGGAATTCTGGAATGGGTTGGATCTTCCAGTCTGAGGCCCTCCATCTCCCCAGTTTGCAAGTCAACAAGGCCCATCACCACATTGATTGTTACTCTGGGGCCCTAATCAGCGATCCTGTGCCACTCCTGGCTCTAGACAGTGGGTCTTTGCCAGGAGGCCCACTCCCAGATCAAGAATTTATCTTTTGATGACGAGGCTTCTTCAACACCTGGACTGATAAAAAGCTGGATGCCATCCAAAAAGCCCAGATGATGGCCAAGAAGATGGGCTTCATGTTGATGCAGCAGTAGCAGCAACAGGCATGTAAGTGGACCAGGCCCTTTGCGCCTACCAGCCCAGGGACCATTACTCTGAATCCACTTGCCAGCAGCCAGCTGCCCAGATTAGATGAAGAGATGCTGTGTCCTGGTTCCAGCAGCAGAAAAGGAGGCTTGACACTGATAGGAGTCAATGTTGACTAGCACAGTTCACCAGTGCCCCCATGCAGATTTCGTTTGATGGTCATCCTCTGTCTTCCCACTTGGGAAACTTTAACATCAGATAGGTGGGTGCTCTCCATAGTGCAGAGTGGATATAGGATTGAATCCAAGACTTTACCACCTCTTGGTTTTGTGTGGTTGAAATCATCATCCCCATTCTTGCAGAAGAAGCAGTTATGTTACTCTCAAAAGGGACTATTTAGCCCATGCCTCCTTCTGATCTTCGTTATGGGTTCTACACTCAGGACTTTATTGGTAGTGATTGCAAGAGCTGGAGGCTTGTAGGATATTCATACTGGAGTACAATATGAAGTGACGTTGTGTGTTTAATTATTGCTGATTTTCAGTGACACCTGTTCATCCCATCTAGATTATTTATGGAAAGCTAACAATTGGCCCCAAATGTTATGACTCAAACAAAGTTATTTTTTAATCTGTTAGCAGTTATCTTCACTTGAGCCAGATAGGTTTTTTCCGTTGCATGCCAGCACAGAAAAAACAGCATCCAAGAACAGCTGCATTGTTCATGAAATTGTTTCATGCATGAAAACATACGCTGCAGTCCAGAGCGCAACATTTACTTTCATATGTCTGCCGTACAATTATAGCATTGTTGCACATTTGGGAAATTCTGCTTCACATTTCATTGAAGAATGTGTATACAGAACTGCTTCCTTCACTGAAAACAATGGGACAGTCCAGATAGGCATGAAAGTTCCATAAATATACTGGATCTTTTTTCCTCATAAGTAATCTTTGGATTGTGGAAGGAACACAGTCCCATGTCAGTGTAAGCCAGCTTGCCATGAGCCCAATCACTTCTGCAAAGCAAGTCTATCTGTGCTTTCCAAGCAATTTCTAGTAATTATTTTTTTATTTTTATTTATTTAAAATTTTTCTTTGCTGTCCCATTACTAAAAAAGTCTCTGGACAGCTTACAAAGAACAAAGAACAAAACCATAACAACAACGATACACACTGCATCTAAAAATAGTGATAAAAACAGAGATAAAATCAATTGTTTAAATACCGGGAAAATAAAAAGGTCTTCACCTGATGCCAAAAGAATAGAGTGACAACGCTAGGTGAACTTCCCTTGGGAGCATATTCCACTGTTGGGGTGCCACCACTGAAAAGGACCTTCTCCAAGTAACTACCCTCCTGATTTTCCTTCAAAGAGGGCTCCTGGAGAAGGGCTTCTGCCTCCGATCTCAAGGGGCAGACCAGCACATAGGGAAGTAGGCACCCCTTCAGGTATCCAGGACCCAAGTAATGGTGTGTAAAAATTTTGCTTCAGCACATGTGCTCAGTGGGAGTAAAACCCTTAGTAACATAACTGAAAAACCCTGACATCCATAAACAGATCAGGTTGTATGGTCATTTGTAGAACAGAAAATAGAGTGCCTAGTATAAAAACAAATGCAGGCCAACTACATTCCAGGTAATACTGTGTGCTAAGCAGAGGGGGGCAGACGGTGGATCAGGATATATTAATAAATCTCCAGATGGCTTGTAAAGGTTTTCAACTCTTAATGGATTAATAGTGGCAACCTCAAAAAAGTCCCAAATTAGATTTGTTTGTGAAAGGATTTGTGAGTGAGCTTCCAGTGCTGAATGTTTAGCTTCAGCATATGCTCAGTGGTTCCTTGTTCCTCAGCTATAGGTCCACCTTCCTTTTGCACTATTATAGTTTGGTGAACCTAATGATTCTAGTGAAAACAAGTAGATCCTCCAAGCCTAGAGCCCTGTCTGTCTGTCTGTCTGTCTCTCTGTCTGTCTGTCTGTCTGTCTGTCAGATGGCTCTTAGGTCTGATTATGGAACATTATCCTTCTTTCCCATTTTCAACTGTTAGGGTCATCTGAGATGGCCACTGGAGACCGACCTGAGGAAGACTCCTGGTGTAGGCTCTCCTGCTCATTCCAAGCTGCAGTGACTGATTGGGTTTGAGGGGAGGTGCTGATAAAGAGAAAAGGAACTGCTTCGGGCAAGGCTTCCCCCCCTTCCCCCTACTTCTGCCTTCGTGCAGACACCACTTGCTCAGTTTATCTTGATCACAGTCTCATACAAGCGCAAAACCCTAGCGAAACCCACAGTGGCAAAGTTGAGAAGCCCTCAGGAAGCTGCCTGAGAACTAAACCGTTTACTGCTCTTTTTCCTTCACATCAACAACAGCTTCTGCTCTGACCATCAAAGCAGCTGAAGTGAGTGAAATCTGGGTTTCTCCGCTTCTTAGGAACAAATATGATAATCCACCAGCAAACAACTGGGAAGAAAACTGACAACCATTATTTCCTATATCAACTTTACTGGAAAATATGTTGATAACATTTACAAATTATGTTGTTTATCATCCTGTATTTGGTAAGTTCTCTCTTTCTCTTTGTAAAAGAAAACGTGTGGGCTTGTTTGGCCAATATTAAGAATTTTCTAAACTTATTCTTTGGGAAGTTAAGTGTAAGCTTAAATCTATTTAATTCAATTGAACTTGAATTTACTTACTGTGTCTTGATTGTACTCTTCATTACCATTATGTGTATGGTGTATACATGGATATAATGGCTCATGCGGTCTGGGGTGCCATATAGCAAGTACTTTTGACCTAGACATTCAGGAGGGATACAGCTAAGTCATAGACACCATCTTAATTTAGTATCTCATATACAGCTGAGACTAAAGCAGATAGCTCAGCGCACATTCACACCCTTGTGTAGTAAGAGGTAGATTCCTACAGTGAGGGGGAGTTTTGTACGTGTGAGGAAAAAATGAGCAAATACTTTGCCATCATATGGCTGCTAAAAGCCTGACGCTGTAAGAACAGCTTTAGACTCAAGATGAGATTCCTGATCCATGTTGTAAGCCTTGTTTCCTATGTAGACTTTAAATGCTAATATTTTGGACCTGAAAAAATCTCTCCTTTGGAGGTACACTCTTAGATCTGCTAATTCCTGAAGGTTCTTCTCTTGTCTTAATCCCTTTTGTTTTATTCTAATGTGCCTCTAGAATACTATGTAAATAATCTCCCACCCCTCCTCCAAACTGCACATATAGGTTATAAAAGCATCTTGTACAGACTCCATCTTTCTAGTCCCTCTGGGCGCTCTCTACATGGTGCATGCATTTCCTGTACGTCTGCATAAACTGTAAATGTTCTTTTGATTGCACACCTCCAGCAGACTTTCAAAGGAGGGTTTTTTCACTTTTGACATATGCCATCTTGTTTAAACCCTTTCTGCTAACCCATAGAAAGGAGATCAGAGGATTGGACTGTTATCTGGTAGGTAATGGGATATTTCCTGGGTTTGCATGCATTGAGTTCTTCCAGTATACAACAGGCCCAAATGGTAGTAACAAAAACACAGGTTCTGATGCTGAGTGTCTGAAATCTGCTGCAGATGAGGAATAGCTGACAGGATGGGAGGAAGCTTGAGGTGAAACTGAAGTGGGATGGAAGTATAAAATCTGAAGTCACAGGTTGATGCTTAGGGTGCTCTTCGGTAGGCGATGAATAGAAACTTCACCAGAAAGGTTGGTTTTGAGGTGGGGGAATTTGAGGGAAGAAGGTGATCATATGAAAGTGTTAAAGGAGATGGTTCTGAGTCAAACAAAAAGGGCTGGAAAGAGCAGCAGGAATGGGAAATATTTGGATGGTGGAACTGGCACAGTGAAGATAACAGGCAGGGATAATGTGTTTACATATTAAAAGCACCTACTTTTAATTGATGATTTTAAAATAAGATGAGAACAGTGATTCATTTTATTTATTTTCTGTGCAGCCCAACAGCTGATGATCTCTGGGTAAGAGATTTGTGAGGTAAACAATACCTTTTCCTATGAATTTGGATTATTTGACAAATCTTTAGACATTCAAAGATTGGCCAGTGGTGAATTGGCCAAACCAGCCAAAATGTTGCCATCACACAGTGGGAGATATATTTAACCATTTGCTTAACTTTATTTTTGAAATAACCAACTGCTTTATTTAAATGGCTATTGAACAAGCCAACACACAAAGGATTCAATTCAAGTAGGCCTACTTGAAACACGACAGAGTTCAGTCCCATCAGTTTGAGTGCATTTATGGTAACTGACTAAGTCTGGATTTAGCCCCAAAGAAAGAATATAATGGATGGTAGTTTGGATTACAGTTCATATTATTGCAGTGCATGATAAACCATCTGGAAATTTCAGGAAGTCCAAAACAGGGTTAACTAGAAGTATCAAATGGGATCATGTTATGTGGCTTCTTCACCATCTTCACTGACTGCCAGTCTATTTCTAGTCACAATTCAAAACTAAATGTGTTTATTTCTTTGCACTACTTTACCTTTTCCCCTTGCTTTTCTTTCCTGTGCTGTTTTACTATTTTATTTTTATCTTACATTTTATTATTTGGAATGTATTTGTATATCTCCCAGGGAACTATGGTTATTGAATGGAATAGTGTATATAAATATTTTAAACCATAAGGCATACTTGTAGCCTTGTCCTGGAGATGGTAAGAGACAGGACATTACTGGGACAAGGATCCATAATGCATACCTGCCATTATTATCGGGGGGAGGATGTCTCACAAAAATAAACACTCTTAAAATGCTCAATTTGATTTCTAAAATAAGAACCTGAATTCAGAATATATGTGGAAATATATGTGTCACTCATGTTTATGAGAGAAAAAAGGAAATTAGCAAAGTCCTAGATTGTTTGTGTATTCCCCGTAATTAAAAGACTGGGTGCAAAGATCAGGAAAACTGTAGTTGAATATGCCACACCAAGTAAACGAGCAAAAGAAAACAACAGAAATGTACTCCTCTTGTGTACAATGCAAGATAAAGCAGAGAAATGCTTGAGGCCACAAAC